ATAGAGGAATCTATAAGATATTTTACAAATTAAAGTTTGCAAAATTATATGCATAAACCATTATGTAAAAGTATACAATTTTCAAACTATGTAATTCAGACAAGTTTAGTTGGGAATGCTAGTGAATTTATACTTCAAACTTTAAAAGAGCCTATTTAAAAGGTGATTAAGCAAAATCACTTGTTAAAGCTTCCTCTACAAATATCTAGATCAATGTTTATGAGAACAAAATTTTTATTGTTAATTTAAAATATTTGATGTTACAAACTACAACACAATACATATTAAACCAATAAGGTATTGTAAATTCCTCTTTTTGAAATTGATCATTGGTCTTGGCTCAAAAAAAAAAAGAAATTGATCAGTGGTCACAAACCAAGTATATGCCATTTTAGAACTTTTGAATATGCAATGTTTATCATTATTGTTCCACCACATTGCACACAAATTATTATTCTCCTTCTTGTTTGTCTTTGAATGAAACAATGAAACGTTTATAAAGGAAACAAATAGATTCAGGAGACTTATACCGCATGATTAACTGGTCGTCATTATTTGACAAAGTTTTCCCAACACAAGGGGAAAAAATGAATGGCTAGAAAAGAAAATATATGGAATGCATTATTACTATATCTTATTTAAATCCTCACATGTAAAAATATGAACTAGAAGTTTATCAAATGTTACCAAAAAGTTTGTTAGATACAATCACTAACGTGTATGAGATTACTAAATTTCTTGTTCTAGATAAAAATGCTCAAATTAGAATAAATGAAACTAAATCATGTCTAAAGCATGAGAGATTAGTTAGTTCCTAATACAAAATCTTGATAAAAGAGGAACATATAATTAAAATGATCATACTAAGGAGGCAGACACTCTATAAAATGGTCATGACATAACTAATGTAAAATGTCAGAAGAGATCTAGTTACTTGAAAGTAATAAAGAGATATCTCAATAAGTTATGCCACACTTAAAAAAATGGAACCAGAAAGATAAAGTTTTCGATAACAAATTTGGTGATAATATCAAATGATTAAACGAGAATCTTGTATACAAACTTGTCATGAAAAGTAGACAGAAGATAATTGGCCAAACAGAAAAGGTGAAGGAAAATACACAATATGAGTAGAATTATATTAATTTTCAATTTGTGAAAATCATGGACATGCTGTTCAAATATTTGAAATATAAATGTTATTATAGGATAAATGAATATTTATGTGAAAATAAATATTTTCACAAAGGTCTAATAATGATCAAGTATATTATCTTGTGGTGAATTTTTGTATATATTATTAGTCTATCAGTATATAAAATTGAAATATAATGCATCTATTGAATACTATTATGGCATTTTACATGATAATCATTGAAGGAGTTCAAATGCCAATAGCATGAAAAATTACCGAGAAATGGATTCAACATATATACATGTATAAGTTGTTAAGCTTGTATGAATTATTATTATTATTATTATTATTATTATTATTATTATTCTCTGTATGTATATTGTCTTGGCAAATATGTATTGAAAATAGGTTTTGATCAAAATAATTTGAGAATAAAATTTTGATATGTATTTTACATTCAACTTGTTGATTGAGTATTAAATACCCAATGGTTTTAAAATCAATATGCTATGTTTATTTTGTCTGTGAGACTATACTAAATTGATTGGTCCTGAAGTACCATGTATATATATATATATATATTAACATTTATACATCTAGCTAATATTATATATGATACAATTTTGTTAGCAAATTTAACTAATAGATATTGAAAAAGAGATATAATATGAGTAAAGTATGATATCTTGAAGATATATTTTCAAGATATGACAATGCATCTAATATAGTTTGACCAGAATTAAGATCCACTTGAAAAAATATTGACAACAATCGCATTTGAGAAATTAATATATTATCTTAAAGTACAATAATTTAAAAGTGATGTTGTTATTATGGGGAGTAAATACACATTTATTCTTTTTCCTTAATCAAGTTTTTATCCCATTAAGTTTTTATGGTAAAGTTTTTAATGAGACAGCATTAGATAATATACAAATAAATGATGTATTCTTTTTTTCTGTTAGGTTTTTGTTCCACAAGGTTTTTCCTATTCAAAGTTTTTAATTATTCACATTCTTATACAATATACATCTAATAGGGAGTGTTATGAATATTAAAAATCATGTGGATGTTCATCTCTTTTATCTCTTCATCTTCATCTTCTCTCACGAAACTCTCACTATCAAGAGTGTTAATTATGCTTTATTTGCTATTATCATTTACATAACCCCTGATATAAGTTTATACTTATAAATAGAGTATTGCATTTACATCGTAGCTATGGAAGAGAATACAAAAGAGAGATTATCCTCATTTTTTAATTGCCTCTAGTCTTTCTCCCCCTCCTCCTCCTCATCTTCTCATTTTCATTCTCTTTATATTTTATTCATTACATCTCCAAAATTATCTTATAATTTTATATGAATGGAGTACTTGTAAAATAGGTGACATTACTTTTTCTTTCCCCTCTGTTTGTAGTTAGTGGTTCTTTGTTTTACTTAAAGCCGATAATTTAAGTGAGTCGAGCTTAATTTGAGCTGGGCTTATTCGAATCGGACTTAAAGTATCATACCTTTTTTAAAAAGCCTAATAGCCAAGCCCAACACTAATACCTTTGGGCTTCAAACTAGCCTGAATACTCGAAACTTTTTAAAATATTTTTTCTTTATTTTTTAGATCATTTTTAATTTTTAAATAATTCTATTAAGTATAAAATATTATTTTAAATTTTAAAAAAATAAAAATAAAAAATAACTTATCAACCTTATACTTAAGTAGCTTTGTTATTATTTTGTTATATTATGTATAATTTATTTATGAATGTTTCCTTTACTTATAAATTAATGTCTTAATTATTTAAATATTGCTCTTATCATAGCCGTATATAAATATTTTATATATTTTAATTAAATCATATTATTTTAACTATAATTAAGTTAATCTCAATTCAATCATAGTTAGACTACTAAGTTAAAATTATTTTCTTGATTAGTTCAAAATTTTTAATAACTTTTAGGTAAATTGTACTTTTTATTTTTATAAATATAAAAAAATAGTCATTATTATATTATATAAAGAAAAATTATTTAATTATGAGTAAAATATTTTTTGAAATCATTTTTCTTTAAATTTTTATATTGTTTAATTGTTACATATAAAAAAATTTTACTCTAATTTATTCTTAATTTTTAATCAAATTTAGCATGGACAATAACCAAGTAATTATTTAAAAAATTATTTTATTTATTATGCTTACCTAGTAGTAGAATCGGTAATTTGTACATGCCTAAATTTTATTTTTAAAATTATTCTTAATTTTATTTTTACTTTAAAATTAATTATCTTAATTTATAAAAAATATAAAATTAATTTTTATATGAAAATGATGTATAAAAAAATTAGGTCTTAAAATATAAAAATTAATATTAAAATATATTTTAAATATTATTTTGAGATATTTTATTGATTAAAAATAATAAAAACATGAAATAAAACTATTTTTAATTTTTTTAAAAAATAAATATATTAAAATATTCAAACATATAGTATTTTGGTATAAAATGATATAAAAATTTAAAAATTAATTAATATTTATTATTATATATATATATTTTTAAAAAATTATTTTTTTATTTTGGCCTTCGGGCCAAGCCCGAACCCGATCGGGCTTGGCCAGAATAATAAAAAATTAATATTTTTTTGACCTTGGTTTTAAATTTTTCGAATGGGTTCAAATTGACCCGTCGAGCTTAACTTAAATTATCAACTCTAATTTTACTTATAAAAAAAAAATACTAACTAGTGTTTAATTTTAAACTTAGAACCTCTAAAAAAAAAACTTTTAGAGCATCAATTTTTGCTAATCACTTTTAATTTTAATATTTCAATAGATATTTTACTTAAACAAGCTCACTATTTTCTATTTCTATTTTTCCAAATTAATTGTGCATCAAATGAACCCTAAAGGGTTATCTAAAAAAAACATTAATATCACTAACACATCAGATTTTTTAATAAAATAATAAACTAATAATTAAAAACAAAAATTATTACTATCAAATTTAAAAATAAAAATCATACAAATATAACTTGATGTTCGAAACGAAAAAAGAAACATCAGTACGATTTAACTATTCTCTAGTAGAATATAAAGATAGCAACCCTTTGGGACATCCGATGAAAAAAAGGAGGATATGAAGATAGCATTGTAATACTGACGCCTGAATCTAGGCTTGTGAACATCAAATTTTTAAATCTATAAACTCAGAATTAATTATTCATAACCCATTTATCTGAAATCTGATTATACAAAAATATACTTGTGAAATTTTTTTTATATATACAATATATCAAAGTAGAGTAGGTAATTCGGGCTAGCCCGAACACGCCCAAAAAAATTTAAGATCAGACTTTAAAAAATATAGTTTTTTTACGTTCGAAACAGGCCCGAAGAAATTCGGGGCAAGCCCGATCAGGTTCAGGCTTGGCCCGCAGACCTGAATAAAAAAGTTTATTTTTAAAATATATATATAATATAATACATATTAATTAATTATTGAAATTTTAGATCATTTTATGCTAAAATACTATATATTTGAGTCCTATATATCATTTAAGTATATATTTTTTATAAAATATTTAAAGTAAAAAAATTAATTAAAAATGATTTTTAAAATAAAATTTGGGTATTTGAACTGCCTGAAATCCGAAGGAATTCAAGCCGGGCTTAACAATTTGAGCTTTTTAGGGAGTTGGGCCCGAATAGGCCCACCCTATCCGAATTCCCAGTTCTACATCAGACATTACAAGATCAAAAGCATGTACAAAGAGTACAGACAACCTTTGAGGCAGAGTATAAGAAATTTTATGTAGTGTTTTGTTATACACAAGATAAAATATAATTTACAATGCTGAAGAGTCTGCAGAACAACAAAATATCCCATGCATCTAAAAAAAATATCAATTTTAAGTACATATATATGATTCAAATCCTCTACAAGTTTTCCAAATTGTCAATATAGCAAAAAATACATTGACCATAACCCTGACACTATTTTGTTTCACTTTGTCTCCTGTAAACATCAAAAGTATGATTCATAACAAGGTACTGAAAGGAAAATATAAGTTCAGAAAGATCAGTTGAGTCTAATTGGTCAAGAATAAGTAACTAAGTTTAGATTTGATAATTTGATTAGTTGACAAGACTAATTTTTGCTCAGTTTTTTCTTTTAAAATAAAACATCAACACTTGATTAAATAACACAACATGAACTCTTTTTTTTTTTTTTTGGCCAAAGAAAGACAATATGAACTGTTTACAAGAACAGAGATTGTGAAGAGGAGAAAGGCATACCAAGAAGTAAAACATTAGCAAATTTAACTATTTAAGCTTCTTTCCTAGTTATCCTGCAATAAAGCAAAACGTGACAATTAAGGCATCAATATAATAATGGTTTTCTAATATCCATTTACAAAGAAAATGAGGTTGCATCAAGTAGAAAACTATAAATGAATTCAAGAATAAAACAAACGCTCAGTGCTGCAAGATAATTACAGCAATCCATTGATCATAAGTTACCTGAAGCAGCATATTCCCAAGGCAGCTGTAATCTCATGAATGACAGACGTGGCAAAGTGCATATAAATAATCACTGTTTACAAATAAAATTTACGAAAAAAAAAAATAATTGTTAAACGGGTGAAACAACAAAATTTAGACTGGATTGCACTTTAGTCCCTGTACTTGATAGAGCAAATTGGTCCTTTTAGCATTAACTAGAAAGGTCTTCCCCCACGGGGATTCAAGTTTTCTTTCAATAACAAATGGCTTTCTTGTTATTGATTAAAGCGACATTTTATCTCTGAAAAATATAACTTTTAGTCTTATAATTTGTTCTTAATTATTGATTTAGTCCCTGAATTTTAACTCAGAATAATTCAATTCCTATAGCTCCTAAACTCATAATAACTAAGTATTTATAGTTTTTTTACTTGGTACAATCCAGTCCCTATAATTTCATAACTTAACAAATTAAAAAGATTAAGTTATAGTAAGTTAGAATTTAAAGACTAAATAATTAAGAGAAAGTTTACGGACTAAAAATTATATTATCCTTTTTATCTCTCTTATTATTAAATTAATGCCTTGTGAGATGAGTTGCCGCACATCACAAGCAAAAGGAACTAATTACCTGAATATGCACAAAAACCAAGAAGAACTAATCTCTCATTTACTAAAGGAACCCTGAAAAAAAAAAAAGATAAAATGGTTAAATACCATGTCTATCAACACCAAACTCTAACATTATAAAACTACATACCCATCATTCAGCCTTGACGAAAGTGCATTAGCAATGGCCAATGGGAGATACAGCAACGACTGTACAACAGTGCACAAAATCCTCAGATCAATTATTTTTTAAACCAAAACTGTGTTAATGGAATATCTTAAATCGGAGAAATTTTATATTCCCAATTTAAAGAGTGGAGAGGGAGAAAAGAACTCAATACCATGCACATTCCAGTCTTTAAGCCCTTGGGTTCATCACACAAGTGAGACAAAATCATCCTTCCCTGCAAATTTAAGCCTTCTTAACCTCTAGGATATAAAGAATCAGATCAAGTAGAGTGAAGCTACAACCAACAAATGTACAATTCCCACAAGACACTAATGTACAAGCAAGGAGAGTTTTTCTAGATGTTCTTCCATATCCAAATTAGTTCTTACAGAACCTGCCATATTACCTTTGAAATGTTGTGGGCTTGTGGCATTTCAAAAGTACTGATGTTGGTACAAGAAAATCACCATGAAAAAAGAACATTCATTCTGCTGTTTTGTCAAAATGTACTAAGAACTACTTTGAAATACTCACTTACAAATATACTGTCTGCTTAAAGTTATAATCAAACTGCTGCCAGTAAAGTTTGTGAAAAATTTTAAATTAAAAAAGATTAATGGTTAAGTCTAAGAGAGTCTAAGGATTGTTGGGTATTCCATGTTCATGACAACTGCAACAGCTTTGAAAAGCGTCCACTGGGAAGCGTTAGGGTGCTTCTAAAAAGCACTTGGGGATTTTAACAAACACCAGACAGAGCAACTTCTACAAAAATTGTCAATCAAGATATACCAGAATCTAAAACAAGTGCATTTATCTCCTACAGAAGTTTACAGTCACAAATTTCTGGTAGAGTATATGTGGATTCCAAAACTGGCTTTTGCACCACTCCAAAAGCAAATTAGATCCTTTACATTAATGCACTTGAAGAAGGGGCATAAAAGAATATGACTATGTGCAGGACACACATCACTTCCTTTATACTTATCATCTCTTTTCTCTCAATCTCTCTTCAAATGCACTGCACACATTCATCCTATGTTCCATAGGCCTGTAAAGTGATAATCCCTATGCTGCATAATTTGCCTTAAACCACACTTATCCAGTTCATTTGGGCAGCCTTCTACTTCAATACAAAACAATCCATCCTCTGAATAGCCACGTAATATGCATGCTCTTCAATGACAATTAAACATCTATAATAATCACTACAGAGAGCAATGGCGTATGATATGTCATGAAATAGAAATCAAGACAAAACCCTTAAAGCTACTAGAATTCACATTTTAAAACACTGTTGTCTCACCACAAGAAACCCAAAAGCAAGTCCTGCTCCTAGAACAACTAAATGTGGGTAGTCCCCTAGGATATCAGATGGTGACAAATAATCCCTGTACAAAACAAGCAACCTAATATGTTAATGTATATAACAGAATAGAATATAATAACATGAATATCTTCACGAAAACACGGGAAGGAGGTGGGCCAAGAATGAAAGAAATAGTGCAGGTTATACCACAAAAGAACTCCTCCAATGAGTAAAACAAATGGATAAAGCTGCAAAGAAACAAATAGAATACATAAACAAAACAATCAATATACGCAGGGCAAGTATCCAATCAAAAAAGTAATTACCATTGCCAATGCAACCCGCATTCTTTGCTTTTTGGCTCGAACAATTTTATAAACATTGTGAATACTGCAGGAAGAACATATCGTTGACACTCATCATATAATTGGTATTGTGGATAGAGTGTACAGAAATAGTCTCAATTTTATAACAACGATGAAATTACATGGTAATGATTTGAACCTGAATGATACAAGAGGGAAAAAAACTCAACCAACCCAACGTAGGACAAATTATGAAATTAAAAACAACATAATGAGAATGAGGTAAGGCCATTTCATCGTATCCCTTGTTCTGCAGCAGCTTTAAGTCTATCGCATGTTTATGGTAGAACTAATCAAAACTTAGGGTACTATACAGAATAGTCAACCAAAAGAGACTACATAGAGGCGTACTAGTAAAATGCATCAATTTGAAGTCAGAAAAGAGAACATGTGAACTGCTGCAAATGTGTAAAAAAGCTTGAACCTCAATTTTGGAAATAAGAAATACATACTTAAACGCGACTGTTGGTATAACACCAGAAATTATCACAAAATACAAGACAGCACTGTATGTTGGAATTCCTGAAACCCAAGAACAGCAATCAAAACCAAGTTATAAGTCATAAGCTAAAATTTCAAAATAAATTGCATGAACACACAGTTTTTAAAGCGTATATAACAAGCACAAAAAAGTAAAAATCAAAACAACATCAATCAAGTTCGTACGATATACACAATATTGTGTGGCTTCCGCCTCCTAGCAACAAATTGACAGACTCTCACTTGTCTTCAATAAACTGAAAGTATAATTAAATTTACGGAACTTAACTACTTAAGTGTAAAATGTTTAACAGGTCAAACAATACAGGAACAATTTGGTGCTCAAGAATCAAGAGAGAATTTCAGGATATTTCCCCTCTTTCTAAATAATAATGTAAAAGAAAATAGCAGTATCTAAGACTGCCAAATTTAAACTTCACAGGAGAATTTCCTCCTTTTTGCCTATCATCATTCCCCTGTATCCAAGATCATACAACATTAAGCACACAGTAGCCAAAACTGACAAGCACTTTAAAGTTCCCCTATGTACATGCAAAATGAAGCTCGGAACCCAATTAAATAAAAGGAAGAAAAATCATCACAAGTATTAAAATTTTGCGCCTAGAAGGGATACTAAAAATTCTCAAAACTGATATCAAAGTCATTCAAAGACTTTTGTCCCAAAACAAAATATTACTTACCCTCTAGAAACGGTACCCAGCTTAAAAAGGGCATGGATTTTACCAACTGTTGAGCCCACCACCGAGCACCTGTAAATTTTTCACATTATTTTCATCGGTAAAAGGTAATAGTCAATATTAAAAAGATATCAAAATAATAATGAACTAGATTTTGCGCAAGTACAATAAGAAACTCAAAGAAAGACCATACCAACTAAAGCGGTAAAAAAGTGGAGGAGGTATATTATCATAAGACCCTCTGTAGGACCATTAACAACCGGAAGGATAAGGCAATTAGTGAAATAGCTGCATCCAAAACACCATAAGAAAAAAATATCAACATTGTAAGCTTATAAATGAAGAAGACAATTTGCGACAAAAATGTGCAATACTGTTATATTATAAACTCATCCAAGTAGCTTGCTTTTTACAGCAAGAAAGATGCATTATTAAGGTAGACATAAATGAAAACGTAATCATTTTTCAGAACACATTTAAAAGACAACACGATCAACTTTGTTCTCACTAAAAAAAGATTTTACTGCTCCACAGCAGCAAGCATTAAATTTTAACATGCAAATCAACATATATAGGAAAAATAATATGCAAATTCAAGTGCCAGCTTGCGACATAAAATAAGCAACCTACTGTTCCCAAGTTGCACCATAAAATGGGATTGCAGATATTAACCACCACCAGAAAGTATCTCTTCCACACATCACGGAGCTCCCAAAAGCCAATGATTCAAACTGAAACACATTTCTAACAAATGATAACCATTATCGCATTTTAAGGTTGAAAGAAACAACCTAAAATCAGAAAACATACCGTGCAAGCAAGGGCATCACATCCTGTAACATAGTTGAAATATTAATATCACCTTCAAATTGTTAAGCATCAAGCTACATAATAACATGAAATACACGGCACAGAAAAATCACCATGATCAAATAATTCACCCAATGGGCTAGAAGAGTTAGTTCGTCGAGCTTGCTTCCCATCAACAGCATCAAACGTCTAGTATATATCAATAAGAAAATCAGTAAAATAATTGCTTATGGCAAAGAATGGATATTTTGGCAACATATAGTAGAAGTCTACCATACGTACATAAACCTAAAAGATTATGACCCAACTTTACTAAAATAACAAAGCTTGCTTAATTAGTGGGAAATGAATCCTCAGATGACCACAAGCAATCAACAGTTTAATACAAATAGTCATGAAGCGTTTTAATATTGGAACTAAAAGTGTATCCACATTTCTTACATGTTAGTTCCTCTGTTGTGAGAAGCATACATAAACAATTCATCCATAATTCTATACCATCTCTTAGAAGTTGAAACTCTTGTAATACTAATCCCACAAATATTTCACAATTTCAAAACTAAATCACCAAGTTTCATGTTGTAAATTAGGCTTCTCAACCATCAAGGTAGCACCAAAATCATGAAAGGTTAAAGTAGCAAAGTGGAGAAGGGACCAATATATGAATTGCATCTGGAGATTTTAAGCAGACCTGGTATAAAAACAGAAGCAATCCATGAGCTAAGTGAACCCATCTTGGTGGAGGTGAGTCCAAACGAGGTGAGTAAATCTACACCGAAATAAATAAGTCACAATAATGCAAATTAGTCACTGTTTTAGTACAGCCACTCTGACTAACACAGTAACTATATTGTCCTTCATGACTATGTTCATGAGTCAAGAGACAATCAAGCTCTACTGAATATAGTTCTGTATAAGCAGGCGTCAATGAACCATGGAATTCATCAGCAATTTGAACAAGAATATGTATACTTAATTTACTCATCATTAAAAACATGATATCAATTGTTGATTATATGACTTTCAACGTATAAAGTAGGATACTTTAACCAACTCATGTCATACTCACATAGCCAAGTAGAGCAGACAGGACTAAGAACATGAATCCTGTAAGAGTTATCTACAACCAATAAATAAATTCTTCATCAGTGCCAAGGATATAACCAAAGTAGCATGGTTCCACACTAATACAGCAAAGAGGGAGCAAATCTATACCATGTTCGGACTGCAAAAGGATTCCAGAAGGCCAAGATGCCAACAGATGGTAGAAAGATAAAAGTAGAGAAGTTAGTTCAATTCAGAACACAATAGTTAAACATGCACTATAAAAAACAAAAACCATAACCAAAGTAACATAATGACAACATTTATTTAATATAGCCAGGGAATGGAGGTGTTAATTCCTCTGATCTTGCTGCCACAAAGGCCAGGGGAAGCACTTTCAAGTGTACAGTACCTTTCCAAGTGTTCTTAGTAGGACTTAAAGTAAAATCTCTTAACTGTTATTGATGGCTAATTCAAGCCTAAACCCACTTCTAAGAGAAGTTGAGAACACAAGCAACGAAATTAGTCCAGTTATTCCAATATAAATTCTGAATAATAAAAATTGAACCAAAATCGGTTCACACACAGGATAATGCTACTCCGCATGCCTTTAGTTGAAACTGACAACACTAAAAGCCTAAACACTATCAATGTCAAAAATTAATCAGTCCCAATGATGTTCATGATATACTGGTAAATGAAAGTTATTATCATGCATCATTAAGCGATGACATGGAGAGAACCTTGTGGGGAAAATGAAAGTACTCACGGCATCCATAGAGGAAAAATTTTAACAAAGCGAGTCCAGAAGGGTTGAAGCACATATTTGGCGATATAGGAATGATCTACACCACTATATTTGTATCTACGCAGAGCTGCTACACCATGCGCCCCAATATAACCCATTGTCTCCAGTAAATCACGGGGAATTGCTTCCTTCAGAGACCAATCAACCGTCGGCACAACCTGCTGAGCTTCCAACAAACATTAATATGACACGACCAATACAGAAATTTGCACGATACGCTGTAAACAAAATGATGAAAAAATTCAACCTCCACACTCAGAAAAGTAACTTCAGCAATTTCAAAATATTACAAGCGACGCGTATTGTGAAGTTGCAAACAAAAAAAAGCAAAATCCTGCATTTACATTGGACGGGAATGCTCCTAATAAAAAGGGAAGACGATAGGTGCCAAACCAAACGTAAAAGGATCTCATGTTACGAAAAGAATACACAAAAATGGAAAAGAAACAGATCAAAGTGAAAGGAAAGAAGAGCCTGCAAATGAAACTAGAACGAATATATGACAAAGAAGAGTTAAGTTCTCGACCTATTTGAATAACGCAGAAAGTAGAGGTTAGAGAAAATGGCAAGAGTGGGAAGTTTTGCAGAGGAAGGAAATTCCAATAGGAAGGAAACGACAAAGGCTGAATCAGATTGTCTTCTCTCCCGCCCTTGAAGCCCAAGCTCTTCCCAAATAGAAAAGGCAATAAGCTAGAGACTGATTAATTATTGATTACTTTGATTAATTAAGAATAACCTTTATTTATTCTCCATTAAAAAATATAATGTCATTTTTTGAAATGATAAGACATTAAAAAAATATAAGATATTTTAAATATTTTAAATTACAATTAATGATATTTTTCAAAAATACCATTAAAGGATATAATTAATATAAAATTTAATTGAAGCATTTTGTTAATTATAAGTACATATATAAAAAGAATATACTTTTAAATACAGTTAGTTAATTTATTATAAATATAATTTGATTAAAAATACTTTATAATATTAAAATTAGGTAATACTTAATAAGTCTTGTTAGCCATATTCTGTGAAGTTGGAATTGGGTGGCTAGCATATTTGTGACTAAAATTATTACTCCCTCCATTTAAAAATATAAAATATTTTTTAATGAGTTGGATATTTAAAAATATAAAGTATTTTTAACCTTTCAAAATGTAATCATTACTTTTTTTTTAAAGTTCTCCTATTAATAATGACTTTATATTTATTGTAGGGTGTTTAATAAAAATAAACATGAAAAGATATGGTTAATTAGAAAGAAAGTAATTATTTTATTGGGGGTAAGATTTAGTTAAAAATGCCTTATATTTTTAAACGAATGGAGTATATATTATTTCTAAAAAATAAAATCAAAATATTTCTGCGACAATTAAGAACATTATTTTAAATAGATTAAGGTAAAATCTTCAAATTGTATATATAGAATTTTGAGTTGTAAATTTTAAAATTTCAATGGTAAATTAATTTCTTTTTAAAGCCCTGAATTGCCATATTTTCTAATGACAAAGATATTAAAATACATTTCCTCCATTCAAAAAATATAAAATATTTTTAACCGAATATTATCTCAATAAAGTAATTACTTGTATTTAAATTAATATTATTTTTTTATATTTATTCTTATTTAATAAGGTATTTCTTTCTAAAATAAATATAAAGTAATTTATTCATAAAGACACTTTAAAAAAATAAAAAAATTACATCTCAAAATATTAAAATTGTCTTACATTTTTTAGCATCCAACCTTTCAAAAAATACCTTATATTTTTAAATGAAAGAGTACAATTTATTAAGTTAGATAGATAATTACAAGAAAATTTATTTTACAATTACAATCATACCCAATTAAATTATTAATTTTATTATTTTAGGACATTATAAATAATATAAAATTAAATTAATTGCTTAGATGGAAATCACAAATAGATTTAAAATAAATCTAATGTTTTTTACTTAAAAAAAAATTACCAGTGACTCATTATGAATCAGTTGACTTTTTATACTTTTCTTTCCATCCTTTTTATAATACCTAGTTATGGTATGAAAAAAAAGTTAAAGTTACTTGAATATAATTTTTATTTTTTTAATTCTGCCCTTAATTAAAAGTAATAATTTTCCAATCTCAAATACACTTTTATTATGTTTTAATTATTTACGAGGGGTATATTTGAAAATATATGTTAATTTTTTCTAGAATTACAAAAAATAGATTTAAAAACAAAGAGATATTATATGGGAAAATCACACCCAAGTCCCATAACAAATGTAACCACCGGCAAGTCCTATCAAATGGTGAAACTCTTCTATAGTCCTTAAGTTCTTATTTATGAATAAATTGTAAGTAAAATAATCCATTTGCCCTCACTAAATTCTTTTTAAGGTTGTCTTCCCCACCACCACTATTCTTTCCCTTCCCTCCAACAATGGCACGGAGTAGGGAAAAGCAAAGAGAGAAAAGGTTTAGCTAGTAGAGTTCCTGGTTGTGACTAAGAAGAGGGGGGTAGAGAGAGAGAGAGCCATGGTTGTGAGGAAGGTAGGGAAGTACAAAATTGGGGGGAAACCTTCACCAAGGTGAAGTTAGCTCAAGAACACAAAGACTAGCAAGAGTGTCGCTATGAAAGTGTTCGACCATAGCACCATCATCAAGCACAAGATGGCTAACCAAGCATGTGTAAAATTTCCCACTTTGCCTATTCTGCAACAACATTGGTAACATCCTTTCAGCAATTCTCATGGAGTTCACCTTGAGCAATGACCAGGACAACGTAAATCTTAAAAATGCTACTACACCAGTTGCGTCAATGACTTGAATTTGATGTGTCTAATGGGGCTTTTGGTGAGGTCTCATGACAAGAGAGTAGTGGCTTATAAAAGCACATGTTCTACCTTCAAACTTGTCGAGATATTACTGTATTGGGAGCTATGGAACCTTGCAAGCTTGCGAGCCAATGGTGTATTCAAGGATCTTCAAGGACATGCATTAAGCTTACTTTTATGCTTACAATATCCCCACCAATATTACCACTTGCACTAATATTAACTATCTCATCATTTTTTGCCCTCATTATCACTATTGATGGAGAGAAGGGAAGGAATAGGTAGGGAAGACATTCAAAAGAAGAATTCAGTCGGGGCAAATGGGTTATTTTATTTGTAAACTTATTTATGCACGAGGACTTAGGGACTGCAGAAGCATTTCACCATTTGATGGGACTTACTAGTAGCTACATTTGTTGTGGGAGACTTGGATGTGATTTTCCCATATTACATCCTTAAAATTGAATTTTACAAAAAGTGATGAAGGGATCATGTTAGGTGATCAATGACCTGCAATAATTTTTTAAAAAAAGGTGTTAGTACCGAGACAAAAGTTAACAAGTTGACACAGCATTCCATAATTCAAGGAAAGGATATATATATATATATATATATATTGAAGCTACTCTTTTTAACTTGGAATGAGAAGATTGATCTGTATTTTTTTTAATTATTCAAAAATATTTTTTACTAAAAAATTTTACTATTAAATGTGATCATATCTTTTAATAAAAAATTTTATTTTTAAATACGATATTTAGTTTTTTATGGGGCATATGTTAAATTTACATGTGAATTAGATTAGCACTTTCAATGGCTGCTTTCTCACCCCAGAAAAAAAAAAAAAGTAAATCCAGATTTAACAAAAAAAAGCCGGAAAGAAAAAGAAAAAAGGAAGTGGCTTCAAAAGGACATCATCGAAGAAATGACATGTTCCTTTTGTGGGTTAAGCGGAAAGAAGGAAGAAAAACGTCTAAAAAAATTAAAACAGACAGGCAGAATTTCAATAAAAAGTAAAAAGTAAAGACAGACAGAATAATCTTTCTTTTTTCATTTTTAATTAACGACAACATAATCTTTTGAAAATTGCGTATATATTATAGGCATATTCCATCCTACATCGGAATATTACTTTTTTATCGTGGCCAGAAACCATATGTCTCCAATACTATCTAACTATGTAAAGTCTATGATATGGAGTTTAAAAAACACATCACATCATTCATATATTTTTTTTTATATATACAGTATATGATATTCGATAATATTATCTTGAATTCCATTATAAAGGAGTAGCTCTCTTGAAAATGATCTCTAGTTCACAAACTCAAATTCAAGACTTTATGTTTAAATAGTAATAACCTCTTCTATTAAGATTAACCCATCTTAATTAGTCACATTATTCATGATTTTTATTTTGGGAAAATTGTCATAAAATCCTTTCAGCTAAGGGACCAAGACTAATTTAAGGACTAAAGTCATAAAATACCTTACACACCAACCCTATCACATTGTACCCCAAGCCTATGACTTTACATGCCAAGTTTATTACCTTACACACCATGAAAATGCAAATTTTATGAAAATACAATGTATTATCCTAAAACTGATGGTTTAAAAGAAAATAATAACACGTGCAATGAATTGTTCAAACTGCAAGTACATAATTAAACTACATGGCATTTTTCAAGGCTAACATGTGCAAAGTCATAGGCTTGGTGTGTAAGGTCATAAATTTTTTGTGTAAAGCTATGTGCAAAGTGCAAGGTAAAAAGCTTAAGGTGTAAGATAATAGATCTGGTGTCCATTTGGTTCTTAAATTGGTCTTGGTCTCTCTAAAAATTTTTCCTCCCAATGAGGGATTTTATGGCAATTTTCCCTTTTATTTTTTTCTGCCAACAACTTTATTCATTATTATTTTTTAAATTTTCACATTGATATATTGACATTGATATTAACTTACAAGCAAAATAATATCATTCCTTTCTTTAAAAGAAATCAATAATGAAACGTGAGTCATAAATAAATATAAATAGTCTTAATCAGCATAAATCTATAATTTAGGAATTCTTTCAAGTGCCTAAATATCCATTCACAACTTATTTTTTATACATTCATAAATAATTTTTCAAATATTTATAAATAACTATTTTTAAATTTACAAGTGACAATACATGAATTCATGAAACTATTTATTCATTTACAGTTAATTTTTCATTGAATTCACAAGTGATTTTAATTTTCCTAAATTCATGAGTGACTTTCCATTGACAATTTCAATAATTATATATTTTTAATTGTAAATAATTGTCATGATTCTTCCATAACATTAATAAAAGATTCGTCATTTTTTCTATTATAAAAATAGTGATACGTGTGTGTGTAGTAGGCCACAAAAAAAGGGTACGTATCCACAAACAATTAATTAGAGCTTTATGAGACAAAGACATGTGTAATGCATTATTGTGACATAGAGAGGATAATCTCATAACAACACAAGTCTTTGTATGGTTGTGGGGAACATCTAAAGGTCAATTATAATCCAATGACTTTGTGAAGTTGATTTCCCCCAATAGGAATTGGAAGCTTCACATTCTTCCTATTAGTGGCTAAGACATTGACCCAAGCTTCATATCTTCTATCACCAATAACTTCTTTCTACCATTCCAAAATCAACTTTGGATCCAACGAAGTTATTAATGAATACAAATAGAAGCCATGAATTGGTTTTTGAAAGCCCTAAGAATGATCATTTGTTAGCTTCATTGGCAAAATTGCGAGAACAATCAAATGCCAATGGCTTAGGTGTAACAAAATGACACCA